TTCTTTAATCTATTTGTCACAACCACTGTTGGGGTTTCAGTTTCTTAGGGAGGCTTCTGGGACCTCTTGGTGTTTTGAATTTTTTTTTCTCCTGGCTCCTTCCTCCCAAGAACTGACTTGACTAGCTTGGGGATATCAGTGAATTTCAAATAGCATTTGTGATGAGGCTGCTGTCTTGCCCCACTGTACACATTTACCATTAAAAGCAGATAAAACGCAAGCGCCGCCTCACCCGGAGGAGGTGAGGAGCACAGGCTGGTGGGTGGGCCTCCTGCTTCACTCCTGATAAAAGGAGGGAGGCACATTGAACCGCCATGGCTTCATTAGAGAGATTTCTTTGCATGAAACTGTGACCTTTTAGGGTATTTGTATTTACTAGCTTTGCTGTTGTGTGACTTGTGGTATGTCTTTCGGATACATATTGCCAGACTGGAAACTTTCAGGGGTTGGCTTGCAGCTTACACTTGAATGCACCTTCCTCAGCATCTGATCTGGGTCCTTAAACAGCGTTAGTGCTGTAGCACAAGCGTGCAGACGTGAACACAGAGACCTGTTTTCCGTGAACGCCAATCATCATCTAGGGAAGGCCTGCCCAATAGAAGTATAATGGAAGTCAGATGTGTTATTTGAGTGTTTTTTAAATAGGCATATTAAAATAGAGTAAAAAGACACTGGTGAAATTAATTTCATTAATATATTTTATTCAACTCAATATAACAAACATTCTTTTTTCCATATGTAATCAATATAAAATATTATTGAGACATTTTATGTTTTTATAGTAATTTTGTGAAGTTAGGTGTGTGTTTTACATGTATCGCACATGTCAATAAAAAACCAGCCACATATTCAGTGCTCAGCAGCCAGTAGCTATAGTGGCAGGTAGCTACGCTATTGGACCACATAAAGCTACAGTTTCAAGTAGTATCTGCTACATGGTCACAAATCAATTCAATATCTGTCAAATAAATGAGTGAATGATGGTAGTTGACTGGTTTTAGCATATCCAGATAATTTTCTGCATTATAAAATTATTTTATTATATGTCCAAATGCCTCAATATCATATTTTCTTATTAAGTAATAGAGATATCTTGCATTTGGTCTTAGAATACTCCTTTTTTGAAGGAGGCAGAAGTTCACAAACTGTTATATGAGTAGTAGAATGCAAAATGGCTTGAGTATTCTGGAATTCATTCATTTGAACTAGTTTCATTTGCTTCTGTGTGGAATGAAACTCATATGCTCATATTTTATGTCTGTGAAATCTTTATTTTTATTCATTAGAAAGAAGTCAATTAATTTGCATTTACTAATCTCTCATTCCTTGCACTGTAATATCATTCCCTTTATATCTAAAGGAAAAATTGTTAATATTTCTTTAAGCCTATAAACTTAATTTCCATTAGGGGAACTGGTAGCTTGAATGAATATAACAACATTTTGTAAGTTGTATTCCTATTGTCTGGCTTTTTATAGGTTTGTCTATGTCACTTCATTTTGTGGCATTTGTGTAAAATATGTAGTGTGGTATTTGCTTAATTTTTTTTTATTTATATGGAAAAGTTCACTTAAAAGGTGCAAATTTATACATCCCTAAATTATTCCTTAGGTATCAATAATATTTAATTAATTTAGATTGTTCATTTTATAATACTTTTCAATAGGACATTTACATTTCTCAAATTTCCTATACACATTAAATGAAAAGTTAAAATAATTTGTGTCAAAAGGGGGCCCAGATTAACTGCCATCGATAATATAAAATGCAATTTCTATTGTAGAAAAGGGTTTGGAATAAAAATAGATGGATGGCGTTGTCCTATTGATGCACAATTCTGTCTATTCAAGGTGGATGTATTTATAGAGAGATGGCTAGAAGGATGCTCACCAAAATGTAAGCAGTGGTTATTATTGGCTGACGTCTCTTGAATGACTTTTGCTTCCTTTGTTTTTATTTAACTGTACAATTTTATTTTACAGTAATGCTATAAAAGAATATTCAAAAATAAATAAGAACACATAGTTCTCATTGTAGTTACATAAAACCCCATGTGCAAAATATGACAGAAATTTGTATTCCAGAAAAAAACAAAGTTTGGATTTGTTTACTTGAATTATAATTTAATTAATGAAGTATTCAATTTCAATCAATATATAAGCTTTATCTGATACACCTTAATAAAGATGAAAACTTAATAAAAGATAACATTTACTAAATGTATTACCTTAAAGCATGCATCGTTCATTACTGCATATTTAATGAGTGAAATACACTGGTCAAAAATAATTTGCATTTATTCGCTTGACAGATATTCACAATGCATATAATATGGGGTGAGTTTAATACTTTAGAGATTAGTGCATTTTTATGTAATTCTATTTCACTAATAAAAATAATAATAGTTAACATTTACTAAGCACCAGTCATTGTGTTAAGTGAATTATCTATGTGATCTTTACAACAACCCTATGAGTTAGATATTATTATTACCCCTATTTTACCCAGGAAGAATCTAAGGAACACAGAGGATTATAAATTCTCTTAGATCCATGGCTGTGAAGTGTTTCTATTACATGTTTAACTATGGATCCCAGTGATTTAATCATTACAGTGTATTGAGTATAGTATGTATTCATATACTGGTCATGCCTGTTTTGTTTTACATTCTAGCAGCAGGCTTTTTAATTTATAGTCAATGTGGTAGAAAATAACAAAGCAAGTAACATTTCTTGTTGCCTAAAATTCACAGCTCTCTTATTATAGCCTTCTTTTGATACAAAATTCTTAACTTATTTTGAAAATAAATTTGTTATCTAGCTGAGACAAGTATCTGACTCCAGTGTGGGCTCATGTGCAGGTCCAAAGATGAAGTTCAGTGACTTCCCAAGGCTGCACAGCTAGCTGGTGATGAGGCATACAAGCCCCAGGTACTTCTACTCTTGGGGTTACTTTGATGACTTTGTACTATTCCTAATTAAAAAAAATATTTTAACATTCAGTCCATTGATGAATCGTCTTCAAAATATTCTTGCTAAAATTTTATTTAGTAATAAGATTGTTAAACTGTGGCTCTCAATAGCTTTAAAAACTAATAGTCAAGAGAGATTAAAGGATCAGAATTATATAAGTGCGTAAACAGACTTGATTATAAGGACACCTAATTATTACAAGGTAGGATATAATTAAGTGCTAAAGTTGTGCGATATAACGACGATAAAGGCTGCAGAGTTTCTAAGGAGGAAATCAAAGAACCATATTTCTTTGCTGGGCTCTGATTACCAAGTTGGAAACTTGAAAAAAATAAAACAAAATAAAAACAAAGCAAATTTACATGAGGTCTTATAATTCTGTTTAGTCTTGTCAATTTGTCTTTTAAAGACACAGAGTCTTGATAAGACAATTCTCCATCTTTCATTCCCTTATTATCAGATTATTAAGTCATCATAATAAGCAAGATAGTAGAGCAAGGAAAGCAGAAATTGAGATCAACTTTTGCTGGATGCCTGAGACCTTTTCTTTCCTTATTACTCAGTTTTCTGTGGTAGGTTTTTGGCCCTGCTACCATTTTTTTCAGATAAGAAAACTGAGGTTTTGAGGATCTGTGGAACCTTGAGGTTTTAGTTATTAGTGACAGACACACTATTCAAGTTCTGGTTTGCTGTAATTGAGATTCCATTATCTTACTGTCTGGAAGACACTGACACCCAATATTGATTCCACATGACCAGGGATTTTTGTAGGGAAGACGGGCTTTTCAGAGTGGTCAGGGAAGATGGAACCATCAGCCTGAAAACATGGCTTGCCCTTGTGAGGCGTGTGACTAAGAGTGTTCTAGTTGTGGCCGTGCACAGGAAGTGGAGATGGGGTCAGCCGGACCGGCGCCTCTCCAGCTGGTCAGTGGACCTTACACGCTGCCTGGGAACGCTGATTGAGGAAGGGCGTGTCTTTACATGTGGAGGTTCACTTGTAGTGCTCCAGATGAGAATGACGTGAGCAAAACTGGGAAATCAGAGCTATTTGTTTTCAAACTTTGTCACTCCTTCTCTGGTAGGACCTTTCTCTTTTTGACCTAACACCAATCCCTCTGAGTACTTAGGAAATTATCCTTTGCCTCACTGCCCTGTCTTCTGTCCAGAGGAGAAGGGAACCGAATGAATAACACATGCCTCAGTGCAGATTCATTTAATAGTTAGACATTTTTTGGGGGGGGGTGAGGTGGGGGACTGTTTGTATTTTCCTTAAGAATTAATCATGAGATGAGCCAAAAATCTATTGGTGACATTTCAGATATGTGTCATTGGGATAGTGGCATCAATGACAATAATGACAGCTGACATGTATTGAAGAAGTACTATGTGTCAGGCACTGTACTATGTGCTTTTGATAGATTTTTATGTTTATTTTTCACAGTATTTCTATGAAATAAGTAAATATATCCATTTTTAGGTGGAGAAAGCTTAGGTTATTTGCCCAAAGCAAGTTGTGTTGGGGTCAGTGGGACTTCCCTGATACATAATATACCCCCACATCCTGTTGACAATAGCAAGTATTTGAATTTAAAAGTTGGCAAAATGATGTTCAAATTGTATGGGTGAGCAAAGTGTAAATTTTAAGAGGAAGTAAATCGTTTGTAAATGTGAAGAACAAACTTAAAATCTGTGTATTGTATTTCAGTGTTTATGTTATAAACAGCAATACATTTGAAGGATAACAAATGGGTACACTACGTGGTAATTTTGTATCTTAATGGTAACGGTGTGCCATAGTTAAAGTGAATGAACTAATTAGTATGTTTTATAACATATTTTACATTCCTCTACTGAAAGGAATTTTAAAGGGTAAGGTGTGCAGTTTAGCTCAGTTAGCCCCCATCCCAACTTGCCTCCATTTTGAAGATTTATGGTTTATATTTGCATTTTTATTCTTTTTGTTTAGTTTTATTTTATGTGCTCATTTGAATCTTATCTATTGTCTTTTTTTTTTTTTCTTTTCAACAGTTACATCCAGCTTTTTACTGCCTAGCAGTCTGGGGCTTGCTTTGTCACGTGGCTTTACCGTGGAGCACCCCTGGAAAGCTCACTGAATTGTCCATCGCAGATCCACGCTTTGGGTGAGTGGAGTCCTAGCCACAAGTTAGCATTTCGCGCTGCCTCAAGTTGTGTTTGCATTGTTGCCCAAAGTGCTTCCATATGGACCGCAAAATAGGGCTTTTCCAGGTCTGTGTTGGAAAGCTGGTTCCCCTCCTCCCCCCACACACCTTTTTTCTTATGGATAAAAGTAATTTATATTGTTGTTTTCTCTCTCTCAAACCTGCTGTTGTCTTCCCCATCCCCACTGAGTCAACTCAATAGAATGATTACAGTTCTTCAGTCATACATCTGCCTCTTTTCTACCTGGATGAATCCCTTCCATTCTCCCCTCCTCATCCCCCGGGTCTCTACAAATAATTAGACCACCACACTTGTCTTATTTGCTGTGAATGCATGGACATGAAAGGTCGTGATGGCTGGGATTAGCTGGACCATCTAGCATCTCATTGTAGTGTGTAAAGACCGTTTGGATGGCAAAGCTTGGCCTCCTTTATCTGTTTAATGTTGTTAGTCTGGGCAGGCAGAGAGGAAAAAGGGAAGCCAGCAAGCCTCCCCTGATTTGGCATCCTCAATATATTTCTACAGCATCTAGCACCATTTATAAAATGTCTTCCTAAGTCTATTTCATGGGCCTCCTATATCCATTTGTCTCTAATCTTTTGCTTTTTAGAGCCTGCTTTTATATTTTTTACAAGTCAGATCCTACCAAGATGGCTCACTTTTGGGTGGGGCAATTAAAAGGGTTCTCTGAGGACAATTAATGCATTACACAATTTTTTATTTGGAGATGGGGGATCCCACTTTGTTAAAGTACTAGTTATAGTGTAATTTCAGTAATTTGAGTGTGTAATTTGACTTTGTGGCCAAGAATAAGGTGTGAGAGGAGACATGGTACAGACTCATGAGTGGTTAGATGGGTAAATGGAAAAGGTATCTGAATTGATGCTTTTTCTCTTTATTACCTGTCCAAATGAGGCTATGAGTAAAGAGTAGGTCTTAGGTGGCATTAGAGAGGGGAATGGCGTTAAGGATAGGGGTGATAATGTGAATACCCTCATGAAAAAGGTGGGCATATTACACACATCAGACAGCCTGCTTGGAGCAGTCCGTTTAGAAAGTACTTATGGAGCCGATCCTATAATGCCTGACTGGGAATCTTATGAAGCTCTAATTGACAATTAAAGTAGATGATGCAATAAGTTACTTTTCCTGGTCCTTGGGTCCACAGCCAGGGATAAATAAATGCCATCAGCAGTTCTAGTTCCCTTGTGCTGGTGAAGAAATTGGAGTTCATGCAACTTGTTTGAAATCTCCCTGTCCCGCACAGCGAGCTTTCCACATTTTTTCTTCCTGTCCCCATATGCTTTCTTAGTGTGTGGTCTGAGTGGGGAGCATTTTCTATTAGAGTAGTAGTTTCTTTTTGGATTGGATTGTGCTTTGATTCTAAGAGAGGCATTCAAATGAATAATGCTCAGGACACCTTAACTTTCTTGGAAGCATAGGTGTTCCCAGTGTCTTGGTGGTTAGAATCAAACGGGTTGTGCCTCGAAAGCCTGACTTTGTTGAATGCATCTTTGACTTCAAGGTTGCACTGCACAGAGCAGAGTAGGTGCCATTCCCTCCCAGGAACATACCCTGGTACCACGTCCTGTCTTTGGGACCATCACTGTTGTTGTTGTGTTTTTTGTTTTTTGTTTTTTTTTTTGCTTAAGGAAATATCACTGCATGCTTAGGAAATCCATTATAAATGTAGAGTTGTCAATTTTGGAAGCGGTAGGAGTGCGTATGGTGAAACAGACCTAAGATTCTGGCATATCCTATGCTAGCCCATCTGTCCTCTCCTAGAGCAAATGACAGATCAGAAAATGGCAGTTAGAGGAGGTGAGTTTGGTAGGATAGGACCCGGAAGAATGAAGGCTGCCATGGAGGGTAAGGTCTGTTTTGGATTCTTAGAGGATTTTCCTGACCTCCTTGGATCCAACAATCGTCCACTGTGTTTCCTCTTTCATGCTCACCATCCTAATTTTATTATCTAACCTGTGACTCAGTTTTCTGATGCAGGTGTGTCTTTGGTACCTGGTGGTCCAGGAGGCAGGCAGGCAGACATTATTGAGTAGTATGTGGATGTGTGGAAAGGCTGCCTGGTCTTGGGAACTCGCTTAATCATAAGAGCAGAGCTCACTGATCTGCCTGAATGCTGGCCTGGAAGTGTACTTTTGCTCAGTGCTCACATTATGCTGTGTTGTCATTCAGTGAGGGCCGTACTTTGATAATTTACTTCTGGCAACCGAATATGTTTTACATTTTGCCTAAATAACAAGCCAGTCAGTCAGTTAGGCAGGGCTTGGCTTGCAGGAAGCCACTATCAACTTTTCGAAGTTCTTTGTGCGAACTGTCTGGCGTTATATTTTACACTCTGTTGAACTTGTTTTCCAGAAATACCTACTGACTTTGAAAAGGACTCTGCAAGGTTTCCGCGCTCTGAGGTCCGTTTAGAGGGTCATTTTTCAGCCCTAACAGAATAAATGACACCGGCTTTACCAGGCAATAGGAGGCTTTATAAACATAAGCTAGTGCTTTCCCAGAATTCTAGTTTCCTCCCAGACCCCTCTCGGCTTTTGCTTTTCACTCAGGCTTATACCTACGTTTTAAATACTACTCTTTTTGCTCATAAGATGCAGCATCCTAAGGAAGACAGCTTTTCCGGCCACGGATCTACCTTAAACATTTCCACAGTATTTCTTTTGCTGAATTGGAAGTAATGTATAAAATGGTCTTTCTTCCATGTTGGATTGATAGAAAACACTAGATTTAAATGTAGATTTCTCTTGTTCTAGTGCAATCATATCTGCTTTCAGCCACACTGGGATGAAATGCAAGATGGACTTCTGTCCTCATGAAAAATGTATTTTTTGACTATTTTTCCACTATTTAAACAATGGAGATAAAAGAGAAAGAAACTTTAAAATCACAGGAAAAAAAATTAAACCCTGATGCTTTTAAAGATTGCCTATGATAAGGGTTAAACAGAATGGATGTTTTTCGATTTCTGATATTAAAATAAAGCCCCTACGTTACGTAGACATTTTGGGAAAATTGGAAGACCCATGTGAAGGTTGTGTTTTCAGGAGCACATCCCTCCTTGGGTGATGTGTGGATTTAATTCCCTATCATTAGAATACAAGTTGACATGTGTCACGTTCCTTTCCATTTAAAAAGTTCATAGCAATTATATGTACTTAATATATAAAAGACCACATATCTTTAAAAAAATAAGATTAACATGTTTTTTTCCTGTGTTTTAAGATCCACTTCTATGTAAGAGCTGGAATTATTAGCTCCATATTGAAGGTATTACACTGAGCTTTTTTTTTTTTGCCAGCATAGAAACATCCTTTAATACTCAACAGCTAACCTTTAAGATGAGTGCATTTTGAGATTTTTTTTTCTTCCTACATTACATGCCTGAGTTCTCTCTTAACGTTGTGAGATTTACAACAGGTTTTCTTTAAATATTTCACATTCTCTTACATAGAGCCATGCGGTACTATATATTTCAGAAAATATCTTCTTGGAAATTTAAAGAATAAAATAGAACTTATGTAAGCAGAACTAATAGATGGTGTTTTCATATTACAATGTATAAAGGAATTAAAAGGTGGAAAGGAGCAGTTATTAATACATACCATGTGCTGCATTTAAATTTTATTACTTTTAAACATAAATTATTTAACCATAAAGCAAATCCTCTTTAATCCTGAAAATTGAGGACCTGAGAGGTTAAATGTCTTGCTCAAGTTTGCCCAGCTAAGGAGGGAGAACTATAATTTTTAGTACAAACTATTAGTATAGATATTGTCCCACTGATTGAAATGTATTGGACAAGCAAAAATAGGGGATTATTCTAGGGAAAGACACACATTTTATTATGAAGAATGTTATCTGATAAACTATGATCTAGTAAACTCACTAGTTTATAAAAGAACAGTTGTACCCAAATCATGTTTCTGGCAGATAGAATAAGTTAAAAGTTACCTGCTACCTGCTCAGATGGCTTAAGATTTTACTAATATTTTTGGAAAAAACTTTCAAGATTTTTCACTTACTTAATTTCCAAATCTCTCTCTCTCTCTCTC